GGGACCGGGACCGGGACCCGGGCGCGCCCGCCAGCCCGCTGGTGGGTCCTCGCTCCCTCGGCGTTGGCACGGGTCCTCCGCCCTCTCCCGGCCCACGCCGCGAGCTCGGGGGGGATTGGTCTTCCTTTGACGCTGACGAGAGCCATTTCCTCCGCGCTCGCAGGAAGGAGCCATGGCCCTGGACGGGATAAGGATGCCAGATGGCTGCTACGCGGACGGGACGTGGGAACTGAGTGTGCACGTGACGGACCTGAACCGCGACGTCACCCTCCGGGTGACCGGGGAGGTGCACATCGGAGGGGTGATGCTTAAGTTGGTGGAAAAACTCGGTGAGTAGCACCCTCACCGCGTCCGCGCACCGACTCCCGCAGCGCGGGGAGGGGGGAGGGGACGGGGGCCTGAGGCCGTCGGCGGGGAGGGGGGTGGGGGGGACGGGGCGGGCGCCGCGGATCCGCGCCTCGCGTCCCCGGCTCTGGAGGAAAAAAAAGGGAAATCTGGCAATGTTTAAGCCGGGAGACCTGTCCCCCTTGGCATCTGTTCGGTTCCATTCTTCAGGGTTTAGTGCAGCCTGCCCGTTAGGGAGGCGGGCGGACTCCTGAGCTCTTCTCCGCGGCCGATCCTGCCGTGGGAAGCCGTGCGGGGTGGGGTGGGGTGGGTGGGGGGAGACGGTGTGTCGCGATCGGGGGCGCTCCGCGTCCCCTCGGCACGCCCCCCGGTGTGGGTGAGGGTTGGTGTGGAGGGCAGTGCGCCATCGAACTGGAAAATGTGCCACTCACGGGTTTGGAGTGTCTGCTTGTACGTGACGGGACGGCATTCAGAAATACAAAACACGTCCCTGCCTCCACTCCTACCCCGGGGTGGGGCACTGTGGGGCCAACTTGGTCTCCGTGGTGCGTTCTGGAAGTCAGCTATTTCAAGCATTCCGTTTTATACTAATACCAAGCCAGAGAACGAACTCTGTGTTACGAGGCGACTCGAACTAATTCGGGCTGCCTTCGGACCCGGTGTTAAATGGTAGGATAGCTTACAGTCTTAAGAACATTCCCCCCCCCACACACACACACATATTTTGTGATGAATGGAAGTATTTTCACCAGGAAGGATCCACCATATAGATGAATCTGGAGGTCATTACTCAGGGGGACTTCTTTCTTGGGGTTCTAAAGCTTTCTCTGTATAATGTAGTTTTGGTAAGGTAGTATGTATGGGATTGTCTTTCTTGGGCTGTTTGTGTTGTCTGTTTTCTTTGAAACAGCACTTAACTCTTCAAGCCAATTAGGAAAAGTAGAGAAGTTAGTTATCAGGGAATGTATTTCTTACTAGAGTATTGTTTGAAATAGCAATCTGATAAGGCTTGCAGAATTCATTTAAGTGGACCTTCTTTGTGATCCTAAAGGGAATTTTTAATTATTGAAGGACTAAAGGAAAACTCCTTGCAGGGTAGTCTCCTCCCTAGGGCTGCCCCTTGTTAGGCTCCAGGGAGAGTCCTCCCTCCCCCCCTTTTGAAAATTACATTTTGCTGGGTTAACAAATTAACTGTCAGTTAACAGTTTTATCTGGTTGGGATAATTAGTCGCTGAAATAGCTATGGACTCACTGGCATGAGATTATTTAATGATGAAAATATCAAATGTAATTTGCATTTCCTGTTTTCAATGGGAACAAGCGTTTGTATCAGTTTGCCTTATATGTGATAAAGGGACTTTATAAAAATACTTGTCTTTAGGAAGATTTTTTTTAATATGGCTGAAAAGGAGCTGCTGAAGGTGACTGAGACAACTTGTAATTCTCAAAAGCCAGGCTTTAATGAATAAATAATGCCTTCTACTATATTTATATTGTTGTATTGATTATAACTGCTGGTTATGAAATCGGTCAAAAATAGACATGTAGAGGATAAAGTATTTTCAGTAAGAGCTGATATGAATTTTAAGTAATTTTAATTTGTTATTGTAATTGTAATCTTTTAATGCTAATGAATTTTCAGTTGTTATGCAGTGTAAAGGAGCCTAATGCTAGGAAATAGGATGCATATGAACCTTTTCATCTGAATCCTTTCTTTTTTTGGGGGGGAGGTCTGTCATGGGGCCTGAACTTTGGGCCTGGGGACTGTCCCTCAGCTCTTCAGCTCAAGGCTAGCGCTCTACCTCTTGAGCCTCAGGGCCACTTCCGGCTTTTTTCTTTTTGCTTATGTGGTGCTGAGGAATCGAACCCAGGGCCTCAGGCATGCAAGGCAAGCACTCTACCACTGAGCCACCTTCCCAACCCCTGAATCCTTTCTTGAAATGAGTAACTAATCTCACTTGTTTTAAGCTCCAAATAAAAAGTGCTTGTCAGTATAATTCTGACTTTCCTGTTTGCAAAAGTAGGGCCTCGTTTTTATTTATTTAGTTTTGGGCTGCAGATTTTTAGAATTAGATATTTTGAGTAAGTTATTTTTTGTTACTTACTGGCAAGTAGATGGAGAAGTTGACCAGGGCAGCATTTAATGTGCACAAGACCAGGCTTTGTCAAATTAGGAAAGAATTCTTGTAATTTTTCAGGTTTGCCTTCTGAAGCTCTGACCTATGTCACTGACGGTATTGAAGGGCAAACTGGATGACTGCTTGTCAGCAGTGGCTAGCTGAGATCAAAGCAGGTTGCAGAATCCAGATAAGAGGTAGAGATGGTGGTAGGGTCGTAATGGCGCACAGCCTGGCATTCCTGGATTGCAGAGCAGTGATGGGTGATTAACGGAACCTGGCTGCTATGGCCAAGGAGCAGTTAATGACAGAAAGTATGCAGCAGCCTCCACTTACAAGTTCAGGATTCCAAATACCTGTCTGATATGCCTCTCAATATCATTGGATCCTGAATGAATACTGAGGCATTATGTTTTCAGGCTGTCTTCCCATGTAATGTTCAAGGCAGCAATTCATTTTCTGGACTTCAAAGGTCCCAGGATGGCCCCTTTCAACTTTACATTAAGATGTGTGCACATGTGAAGTTCTGGGAAAAGGCTACCAGACTTTTTTGTTTTTGGTCGGTTGTGGGGCTTGAACTCTGGGTTTGGGCGCTCTTCAGCTCAAGGCGAGTGCTGTACCTCTTGAGACACAGCATCATTTCCGGTTTTCTAGTGGAGATAAGAGTCTCACGGACTTTCTTTCCTGCCCTGCCCCGGCTGGCTTTGAACCATGATCCTCAGATCTCAGCCTCCTCAGTAACTAGGATTACAGGTGTGAGGCACTGGCGCCCAGCTTGGCTGCCTGACTTTTGTCTCAGATTTCTCCTTGTGATGAGAAAAGGTTTGAGACTGTAGTTTAGCCCTTGAGTATCAGTTTAATTGTGAAACTACAAACTGGTTTTTGGTGGTGGTGGTGGTGGTGGTGGTGGTGGTTTGGGGCTTGATTCCAGGCCTGAGTGCTATCCCAGAGCCTCTTTATGCTCAAGGCTAGTGCTCTACCACTTGGGGGGGGGGCACAGTGCCACTTTTGTTTTTTTAGTAGTTAATTGGAAGTAAGAGTCTCACAGGGACATTTTGCCTGCACTGGCTTCGAACCATGATCCTCAGATCTCAGCCTCTTGTGTAGCTAGGATTTCAGGTGTGAGCCACTGGGGCTGGGTGAAATGGGGATATTTTAATTAAGTGAAACAAAAGCATAAATAATAATTTTTGCACTTTATAAAGCATTTCAGAAAGGTCACCAATATATTATTCTTAGATTTATGACTTTATTTTATTTTCTATGTTATTGGGGCTTGAACTTGGTCTGGGTACAATGCTGTTTTTTTTTTTTTTTTTTGCCATTCCTGGGGCTTGAACTCAGGGTCTGGGCACTGAGCTTCTTTTGCTCAAGGCTAGCACTCTACCACTTGAACCACAGCTCCACTTCTGGCTTTTTCTGTGTATGTGGCACTGAGGAATTGAACCCAGGGCTTCATGTATGCTAGGTACACACTCTACCACTAAGCCACATTCCCAGCCTCTGTCCCTTAGCTTTTTTGCTCAAAGCTGGCACTCTACCACCTGAACCACAGCTCTACTTTCAGCTTTTTGGTGGCTCACTGGAGATAAGTCTTATGTACTTGCCTGCTGAGCTGGCTTTAAACCTTGATATTCCGTCTCAACTTCCTAAATAGCTAGGATTATAGGCACCTGACAACTTTCACTTTAATTCAAAAATTTGAAAGTTCTCTTTTTAATTCTTAATGTAAAACACATTTGTCATTCTGCATTAGTACTGAAGAAAAAAAATGGGGATGAGAATGTGACCCTAGTAGTAGAGCACTTGCCCTCAGCTCAAGCTGCAGTAACACCAGAAAAAAAGGATTTAAGCTAGTACTAATGCTTAGCCAGATGTAGCTCATAGCTGTAATTCTAGCTACTTGAAAGATAGGGATATGAAGAGACCTCATCTCAATAACTCAATAAGTAGATAATGGGGATGCATCTATAGTCCCACCTATACTGGGTACCACAGGTTGAAGGACCTTCATCTGAGGTTGGCCTGGAGAAAAAAGCAAGACTATCTGGAGAAAACCCTAAACGGAAGAAAGGGCTGGATGTTTGGCTCAAGTGGCACCTTGAGATCAAACAAAACATTAAAAAAACAAAACAAAAATCTTTAGCACTAGAAGAAAGGGATAAAGAAAAATAAAATAATGTATTCATGAATGAATGGTCTTTGTTTTGATGTTTTCGGTTTGTTTGTTTGTTTGTTTGCCAGTCCTGGGGCTTGAACTCAGGGCCTGGGTACTGTCCTTGAGCTTCTTTTTGCTCAAGGCTAGCACTCTACCATTCAAGCCACAGCACCACTTCTGGCTTTGTCTGTTTATGTGGTCCTGAGGAATTGAACCCAGGGCTTCATGCATGCTAGACAAGCACTCTACCACTAAGCTACCTTCCCAGCCCAGCTTTGGGTTATTATATTCTGATGTCACAAACTAGGTTGACAATCCCATTAATGATCTCCTTCATGTATATACTTCATTCTGAAAATGAAAAGTGTTTTTATTTATTTACTACTTAAAAGTCCAGATTGTAAACCTTGAATAGTATTTTTAAGTGAGAAAAAAAATTAAAAATCAGGTATTAGAATATAAAAATAAGACAAAAAGGAATAAAATTTTAATTGTTAAAAAAAAAACCTTGTAAGGAAGCCCCTTCCTTTGAAGATGGTTGGGAAGTGATGAGAAAGAAGTTGTACTTTGGAATTAAAGCATACAACAGCACAGAGGGCCCTAAATACCTAGATGCTTGTGTTTTTACAGTGCTTGGAATAGGACCTAGAGCATCTGTGTGCTAGGTGAATGCTCTGCCCTTTGCTCCCCTAGCTTGAGATGCTTACTC